AAATGTCTATGACAAATTCTAATGCTCACCAGCATGCTTTGCAGAAAGAAGTTAACAGGTGGGCAGAGGCAAAGTAGGTGGGTCATTTCAGTAGGACAGCTGTCCAGGCAGGGCCAGCAGAGGGTAGGAATGCCAGCGGCACCCTCACTCACAGGCCCGCTCCCAGGCTGGGCAGATGCCTTCCCTGTTAGTCCTCACAGCAGTGACGAGTGTCAGAGACACACACATCCCTCCACAAGTGAGGCAGGTGGGCTCAGGCTGCAGGTCCCAGGTCACGCAGCCAGTGAGGCATGGGCCTGAAACACGCCTTGGATCCTCGCCTCCTGACTTCACATCCTCAAAGCCTCCTGACAGGGAGGTCAACATGCTACATCTGGCACGTCAAAGCGGGCAGCCGGACAGGCAACCAGGCTCCAGACAGCCACCTGCCCAGGGATGTGCAGCGCTCGTAGGAGGACCAGGCCTCTTGTCTGCCCATCCACAGTGGCTTTCAGCAGGTCCTCCACAGCCCTAGAAGAGTCAAATGCCCCATTTGAAGGACCAGTGGGCTGGGGGTGAAGGAGGGGAAGAGTCAGCTGAGTCACCAATAAGCCTTCCTCCCAGGTCTGTGCTGCTGGACTGGGGCTGCAATCCCCACAAGGCCGACCCCCTCCCCAGCTCACTCTAGTAGTCTCATGCTCCTGCAGGGTGTAATTCTGCCACACCGGCCATGGGAACACATATCCAGACTCCTGCTCCAGCTTCACGGGGCTCAGGGTCGTGCTCATGAATTTCTCAGACCCCACACGGGTTTGAAACCCCTACAAAGGAGAGTCTATAACAATCCTCCAGCAAGGCTCTGCTGCTCCCTGGAGCCACTGCCTGGTGATTCTGGATGGCCATGGAGACTCAGGGCCACGGGAATAGCCCAGCAATGGCTTATGGTGAGAGGAAAAGAGCCCTGCCCCTGTCTCCTCTCTGCACATGAGGGAGCACCTCAAAACACAAATCAGATCATGCTACTACCCCCAGCCTTACACCTTAAGTGGCTCCCCACTGCCCTTGGGAACAAAAGCACAAATCTTCACCCTGAAGATACACGTGTTACCGTGGATCTAGCCCCTGCCTCCTCTACCCTCTCTTCGTACCAGCCACAGGGCTTCCTCTCAGTCTAATTGAGCTCCCTCCGGCAGGCAGCAGGGTCTTTGTACATGCTGTTCTCCCTGCTTGGAGTACCCCCTTCTCACCACTCCCTGCCCACCACCCCTCCTCCACGCTGCAGCTCAAACATCACCTCCTCCAGGAAATCTTCCTTCATCCCCAGAATGATCTCCCAACCCCCCAAAAAGACTTGCCCTGCCCCCTCATTCCTCAGCCTACCCCAGGGTGGGGTGTCTCCAGCCTTGGAGCCAGCATGCCACTTTCTGGATCCTTCAGTACAAACTTAGGACTGAATCTAAATTTTACAGAACAAATCTTTTTAACCAGCCCCCCAAGGGCAGGTCTGTGCTGGGTTGGATCCACACTGTAACGCTCAGCATCTGCCCAGCCCACGCACACACTTGGCACTCAAAAACCACTGCTAGGGGATGAAGAGATGAAGAATGTGAGGGAAACCTGGCCCCACCACCTTCTGCACAGACAAGGGGCCTGATCTCTCTGAAGTTCACTTCCCACTCCTGCAAACTGATACAGGCTGTGGGGAGGATTAAAGGGCTTAGTCACAGAGTGCTTACAACAGTGCCTGGCACGAGTCACAAGTGCTAGATGGTGTCTGTAATTGCTACAAACAGTCATTTGAATTTTAAAGAGTTTCTCTGTTGACCAGAGCATCACAGCATTCAAAGACCCCTGCCCTACAGAATCTGGTTATGTGAGGCCCGAGGAAGGGGCTTCTTTCCTGCCACGCACTGCTGGGCCCACAGAAGTTGCACTGAGGCCTCTTCCAGGTCAGGGGTTGCCTCCAGCTGTTCCTGAAACCTCCAACCTCCTCAGAGGCTGCCCTGCCCCTGGACCCCCTCTGTTGTGGCCCCTCATTGTGCCAGCCCTGCAGGAGAAGCCGCCCTCACAAAGCCCCCTGAGTGACAACAGACATCAGACCCCTTCTCTCCAGCCCAGGGAGCCGGGCATGTGGCTTCCATTAGGCCACATCTGGACATGCTCAGAAGCAGGGACAGCCCAGCCGAAGCAGCCTGGATCCCTGGCACCGCTCCGGCTCCAATACAGGACCCCCGCCCCAGCCAGGCCTGGGCAATGGCTGGAAACCTCCTCCTCCAGGCCCCAGGGCTGCCATGGCAACATGGCTGGGGGGTCACTTCCGGCCCCACTGCCCACCTCTTAGAGGGCCTAGGGGCTGAGCAGGGCCCCAATGCCTCTCCATTTTCTCCCAACAGGGGCCCCTCCATCACCCAGATCCCCCCAGCCCTCCCCTCGCATCAGCAGCCGGGAGCTCTGAGGCCCAGACTCTACTTCCCTAAGATGGTCTACACCCAACCCCCGCCCCTGGGCTCCCATCTACCCTCCAACCCTCATGCGTGCACACAGCTATGATCAGGGAGCCCCTGCATGTGGGTATCCATGTGATGCCCTCCTCCCCGCTTAGCCTCAGAATGGGAGTAAGCCAGGCTCCGCCTGCCTCACCACTGGCACAGAGAAGTGCTCTGTGACTCTCTGCAGTGCACAGGGAATAAAACACTGGTGTTTTCAACTGCTCAGCAAGTGCTCAGCTCCGTTTGCAGCATTTGACATGAATTCGCTCATTTAATCCTCAGAACAGCCTCATAATGCAGAGTCTTCTCTGCTACTTACAGGTAGAAAAACTGAGGCACAAAACCTTAAGCCACTTGCCTAAGTGACATGAGTTGTGAAGCCAGAGCCCACGAATTGGTGGGTGATGGGGGGGCCCTGGGTGGGCAGAAGGGTGAGAGGTCAGGTATAGATATTTATCTGGCCAGGCCAGAGCTTCTTGTCCCATTTAACCCAACCCCTCCCTGACTCCTCATGCCTCCCCTCCCATTCCCTGCACACCCCACCCATGCTCTGCTAATTCTACTCTGGGCCTTTGCACATGCTGGGCCCCCTGCCATGACAGCCCTCAGACAGGATGAGGAGCACTCCATCCAAGGCAGGGAGGGCACCCCCTAGCAACCCTCATCAAAGCCACACCCCAAATCCATCTGAGAACAAAAGTTTCTCCAGGATTCCAAGGCCCAGAACCACAGGGAGGCCTCTGGCAGAGACAAGGGTGGGGGTTGTGGGGGAAGGGGCTGGGTCTATTGTGGAAATCCTGAAGGCTACAGCTTGAACGCACTGTGCTCACCGCACTCGAGAGCAGGCTGTAAGCCCTCCCTGCCACACGTGCAGTTCATTACACACGCACCAGCACACATGCTCCCTGCCTCCCTGTCCCGGCCTATCACCTCCCACCTGTGACCTAGAGCTACCAGCCACACCTGTCAGACCACACTTGGCTTAGACTGGGGAAATTGGGCCCACCATCCCATCTCCAGCTTGTGGGGAGAATCAAGTGTCACAGAAACAGGCTCCTGGCACCTGGGGAGCACTCAGCCAGGGTGAGTTCTGTGCCCCACCCACCCCAGCAAGCTGGAGGCAGAGCCATCAGGGTGGCAGCCTCAGGGCTGGAGGAGCCCACAGAGACCCCAGTTTTACCCTTGCTACACGTGCACAGTTGTGCTCATAGCCCGTGCCCAGCAAGTGTGGTGACAACACTCAACAAATGGGGAAAAGGGTCTTAGTGGCTATGAACCTGGCCTGAGACCACACAGCTGTGCACAGTGGAATAGGTAGATGGGAAAACCACAGAAACCCCAGGGCTCATGCCCCCTCCTCCAGGAACCATCCCAGATACCACACAGGCGTCTGTCCCTCACAGCACCCAGCCTGTGGGCCAGATCTATACTGATCCATCCTGCCTTCCCAGGGCCACCAGGGCCTGTTCACAGATGGCACCTAATGAAGCTTTATAGAGTAAATGATATGGGATTAAATAAGACACAGGCTTCCAGCTATGGGGAAAAATCTCTAGAAATCAGAGAACTCCCCAGAGCACCCTCAAAAAGGAGGCAGGGAGAACATAGAGGCTGGGGCCGGAGAGAGTGAGACAAGAAACAAAGATTCAAGGAAGCTTCCTGAAGGAGGTGCTGACTGAGCTGGCCAGGAACAGTGTGAGCGAATGCCTGGAACAGAGGGGAGACAGTGTGGGGTGCTCAGAGAATGGCAGGGAAACTAGAGTGAGGAGAGATGACTAAGGGTGGGGGCACCCAGGGAACCTCCTGCTGACTCACTCATTCATTCACCTAATATTTACTGAGCACCAACTGTGTGCAGGCCCTGCCAGAGACCTCGACTCAGCAGAGAACATGACAGATGTGGTCCCTACCCTCACTTCACAATGCTAACATTCCACAGAGGGAGAAAAACATCATACAAGTCCACAAGTAATTATGCATTATCCTGTTAGGTATTGCTCTGAGAAATTAAAAGAAAGGAAGAGGAAAGGTAGGTCGTCAGGGAAGAGCTCCCTGAGAGGCAACCTAAGCAGAAAGCTGAATGGAGGGAGAGCGTGAGCCATGTGGACACCTGAAAGGGCACGGGAAGTGGGAGTGGCAAACGCCCAGAAACAGTGGCTGGCCAGGACCCTTGGGGCTTCACAGAGAGGGTGATAGCGAGGGCAACAAGAGAGGAGGTCGGGAAGGCGTGAGAGCAAGCTGTGCAGGGCCTGTGGCCACTGTGAAGACCCTGGCTTCTACTCTGCTCGAGGTAGAAGCCACAGTAGGGTGCGGCGTGGAAGAGGGACGAGGGCTTGCTTTTGGCATCAAGGTTTCATAGGAGCTCCTACAAGAGAACACATCCCAGAGACCAAGAACAGAGCTATGGCCACCTGGCCCTGCAGACCCAATGTCTCCTGCCCCAAGCAGCTGTTCAGAGACCTGGAGCAGCCAACCCCCCAAGGCCGCCCTTCTGGGGCCAAGAGCTCCTGGAGAAACCAGAAAAGGCCTTACCTTCAGGGCTGCCTCTAGGGACAGAATGCACAGAGTTGGGGTCTGTGTCCTCCTCTGCCTGGGAACGTGGCAGAACCTGTGGCAGCTTGGGCACCTCCTGGGTGGGTGGGATCGGAGCTGCATCGTGCGGTACCGTGGATAGGATGGTATGGGTGCTCGGCTCGACTGAGCCCCTGAGAGAGCCTGGCATGGCCTGTGTCGGGATGAGACCAGGGGCTTCTTGTTCCACTGGACCCGACCCCGGCATGGGCATGGCGCCCTCCTGCCCTGTGCTGCCCGGCATGGCCTGTGCATCTGGGATGAGGTTCTCTTCAGGCCTCGCCCTGGCTTCTGCCCTCTCCTTCTGGACAGGGAGACCAGGTCCGGCTGGGCCTGGAGTGGGCAGATCATCCAGCCCCTTGGGGCCACCTGATGCCAATGGCTTCGTGACAGCCATTTCCTTCCTCTCCTCCTCTTCCTCTTCCTCTTCGTCCTCCCTGTCCGCAGTCACTCTCCTAGCTTTGGCCTGCATAGGGGCTGGGGGACCCAGGGCAGCAGCTGCTGTGGGCCTGAGGAGCATGGCAGGCCAGGCAGTTGCCTGGATAGTGAACAGAGGCTGACTTCCACCTCCCAGAGCGGCCGGGGGGAACCCTGCGCCTGCCTGGACCTCGCCTTCACCCCCTACGGCTGCTGCTGCCTCTGCCTCCGCCACCTCCTGGTCATAGCTATAGGGGTCTTCATAGTGTCGCTCTGGGTCACCCTCTTCAGCATCTGAGAAGTTTCCATGGCAACCAGGGAGCTGGTAACAGATGAGCTCCCCACCAGCATCAGGGCAGTGGCAGGCCCGGCATGGTGGCAGGTGGACGGTGTGGCCGGCAGCATACTTACGGCCATCGTGGACACAGCCCACCTGGCCACACTGAGGGCAGCTGTCGGCTGCCACCACAGCCTCGATGCAGTTGGGTGGCAGCTCTGGGCACAGCATGAACTGGCAGCTGATCTTGCCACCTCCCGGGGGACAGGAGCACTCAGTGCTGCCAAAGTCCACGAAGTAGGACTGGCCAGCAGGCACGCGACCCCGCACAAAGCCACCCTGCAGGCAGTCATAGTACTGGTAGCCCTCACAGGCACAGCCCCGCTGCACACACGTGGCGCAGCAGGCACCTGGCTCCAGCACCTCCTCGATGCAGTTCTCCAGTGGTGGACACTTGGCACCTGTGCAGTCCTGCTGCGGGGCGGCCACACCTGTGCTGGGGCCCAGGGCTAGGGCCAGGCCCAGTGCCAGCCAGGCTCCTGCAGGCTCCCAGAGCAGCACCATGGTCTAGGCCAGCCCAGAACAGTCCCCTCTTCTGCAAGGCCCTGGGGGACAGAAAGGAAGGCTGTCAGTACTGGGGGTGCACGTGGACAGGGAATACACACAGACGGGGTCCAAACTCAGCCACCTCACACATACACACACACACGAGCACACGTCCATACACAGAGTCCAGCTCGTACAGAGATGCACGTGGGCTCTGACACAGACAGGTGAGTGCACAGTCACTCAGTGCCGCAGGTGCTGGCCTGGAGGCCCCTTCAGACACCAAGTCCAGCTCCAGGGGAAACTCCTGCCCAGCTCATCATCAGCTCCAGCAATTATACCCTGAGGCCTCACTGTCCTTGACAATCTCACCCTCGTCCTGTCCATTCTCCCCTAAACAGCTCCCTACTCTCTGTGCCCCTTCCCTCCATCTCCAGGCCCTGCTCCCATCTGCCTGACACCAACAGCCCACAGCTGCCCCAGATCCCCACTGCCAGCAAGGAGCACTCCCGATTCCTGATTCAGCCTGGCACTTGGGCCCTCAGGCCCGAATGCTCCTGAGGCTCTATTCTTCCCCATCCCCATCATTCAGTATAAGCCACTCAAATGCCATCTTCTCGCTGGTCCTCTCTCCTATGCCCACTTGCACCCCTTCCCCTGTTCCCAGTCTCCACAGCTCCAGATAATGCCTGTGGGCCCTGACTCTGACCAGAGGTATGGTAAAACCTCTTAACTGTGTGGATGCAGAGTGGAGGCTCAGAGACGGCTGGTGCCTTGCCTGGGACTGCACAGTAAATGAGAACACAGAGGCAGGCTCAGGCCTGATGCTCCCAGAAGTCACAGGCATATTTCCTCCTCCACTAATTGCCAGCCTGGCAGGGAAGTGCCAGGATGACAGCCCAGCTTGTCACCATCAGCAGCCTGTGGGCCCTGGCACAGCAGACTGACCAGCACCATGAGCGGCTCCTCCATGCCAGCCCCTCTAGGAACCAGGCGTTTATCAGCCAACAGGACAGGCTCCTGGCCATCCTCCCAGCGTGGATGGGGGAGAGAGGCAGGGAGAGGTAGATAATAAATCCAAGAGGAAATCTGTAGTGAGCTGACTGCCAGGCTATAATAAGTACAATGAAGAAATAGATGGGGGAAAGCAGGAAATGGAAACAGGACGTGATGGGGTGGGAAGAGCCAGGCTAATGGAAGGCTTCACGGAGGAGGTGGCATTTGAGCTGAGACCCAAATGGTCGATCTGGAGGTGAAGCGCGTCAGACAGTGGCAACAGCATGGGCAAAGGGCCTGAGGCTGCACCAGCAGAATGACAGCAAGAATGGCAGAGGGCCACCTGGGGAGCCGAGTGCTTGAGTACAAGGGTGGCAACCACGCTCTAGCACGCCTAGAAGCCCCACAGCCTTGGGTGACTTCATCAGATCCTAGGGAAAGGATTCACCTGGGTGCTGTGTTAAGATGGAGCTGGCCAAGCACAGTGGCTCATGCCTGTAATCCTAGCACTCGGGGAGGTCGAGGCAGGTGGATTGCTTGAGCTCAGGCGTTCAAGACCAACATGAGAAAGAGCGAGATCCCTTCTCTACTAAAAATAGAAAAACTAGCCAGGTGTTGGGGTGGACACCTATAATTCCAGTTACTAGGGAGTCTGAGGCAAGAGGATTGCTCAAGACCAAGGGTTTGAGCTTGCTGTGAGCTATGACACCACGGCACTCTACCAGGGTGACAGAGTAAGACTCTGTCTCAATCAATCAATCAATCAATAAGACAGGGGTAGGGAGTGGCAAGAGACAATAAAGGGATTTATTTTAAGGTAGCATCATGGACAGGGTTTGCCAACGGGGAGGTCTCCATTGAGCCCCTGGAATAACTGGGGTATTCAGTCCCAATTAACAAAATTATGGTCCTCTAGATGGTTAAAGGATGGCTGTGCAAACTGCAAACTACTCAGATCCACTCCCAACAGTGCCTTTTAAGAAAGGAAATCTTGGCTCAGCGCCTGTAGCTCAAGTGGCTAAGGCGCTAGCCACATACACCTAAGGTGGCAAGTTCAAATCCAGCCCAGGCCCACCAAACAACAATGACAGCTGCAACCAAAAAATAGCCAGGCATTGTGTTAGGCGCTGAGGTCCCAGCTACTTGGGAGACGGAGGGAGGAGACTCACTTGAGCCTAGGAGTTGGAGGTTGCTGTGAGCTGTGATGGCCACAGCACTCTACCCAGGGAGACAGCTTGAGGCTCTGTCTCCAAAAACAAAAAAGAAAAAAAGGAAATCTTTGCTGGAGGAGACCTAAACTCCACCCCCATTTGCCCTTTTGTTTATCAAACAGCAGGCAGGATCCACCCCTCCTAGAGCTTCTCCTACGAAGCTTCATTCCCAGCTGGTCCCCCACGCAAGCCTGTCTCCTAGTTTTGCTACCTGTCCAGTCACCAGGGTGGCCCAGCCCTTTGACACCTCCCCCCAGTGTCACATTTTGTCCATGCCACACCCAGGTGATTCCAAATCCTGGACTTGCCCACCACCCCCACCCCAGGGTAAGCATGAAGAACAGCAGGCCCAAGCCTGACTCTGTGTTCTCATTTGCTGTGTAGCACCAGGCAAGGCACCAGACCTCTCTGAGCCTCAACTCTGTGTCCACACAATAAAGAGGTTTTACTACATCTCTGATCGTGTTCTGGGCCCACAACATTGTCTATACCACAAGTGAATTCTAAATGGTCCACACCATGATTTTTATTTTAAATTGGCTACCAGCATTCACAAATTAGAAACATTATATGAAAATTTAGGTTTCCAACTCCTCTTTAAAATGATGGAACTCTGGCCACCCTGAAGTGTCACATGGGATATGGGGTTCTATTTATGCATAGCCTGGGGGCCCACCTGTATGCAGCTCAAGCCCCACTGAGGCTCTCAAAAGACTGTCCTAGGAGGAGAAAGGACATGTGGAATGTGTCCAGAGGAGGGGAGGGGGCCTCCTTGGGGTGGCTATCCTCACATCTCTATAGCTGCTCTGCATAAGGCATGTGTGTGTATTGGGGGGGGGGGGGCGAAAGGAAATGGCAGATCTCAGTTTCACATGGAGAAAGCTTTCAGGTCTGTGATATCCCAGGCTGCAGGGATGAAGGAGTGAGCTCCCTGTCCCTGGAGATAAGCAAGAAGAGTTAAGGAAGCCAGGTGGGGTGGCTCACACCTGTAATCCCAGCACTCTGGGAGGCCAAGGCAAGAAGAAATGCTTGAGCTCAGGAGTTTGAGACCAGCCTGAGGAAGAGTGAGACCCCACCTCTACTAAAAATAGAAAACTTAGCTGGGCATCATGGTGGGTGCCTGTAGTCTCAGCCACTCGGGAGGCTGAGGCAGGAGGATCTCTTGAGCTCAGGACATTGAGGTTGCTGTGAGCTATGAGGATGCCTTTGCATTCTAGCCTGGGCAACAGAGTGAGTCTCTGTCTCAGAAAAAAAAAAAAAGGAGTTGAGGAACATTCACGCAAGTGAAAAGTAAGAGGGCACAATCTCTGTGCTGCTGGGTCACAGACTCAAATATGCTCCTCCCGAAGGCCCCCAGTGCAATTTTCCAGAGTCCACACACAGTAAGAAGCGTTCACAGTGTCCGGTTCTACAGACAGCACCCCAACCCCACCCATCCAAAAAGAGAAACTTCTCGGGGAGCTTGTGGGGAAGAGGGCCTGACCTCACTGTGGGAGGGGAGCCCCACCAGCCAGATCCTGGCCAGCAAACAAAGTCCCTGTGTCAGGCTGCTCAGGGCCTACTGGGTTGGCTCCTATAGCACTGTGCCAACCCTCCAAGGCGGGGAGGACTCATCAGGAACTGGAGAGATGAGATGGAAAGTAAAGCCACCAAAAGCTCTCCCCTTATGGCCCTTATAAAGACAAATGTTAGAATAATGTTATTATTGTGATGCCACTGACCTAAGTGTCGCCTGGAGTGGCCTCTCTGGAGGGAGGTACACACATGATCAAGCACAGATGCTCAGTCACCTGCAGTTCTGATGCCCAGGGGATTACTAAGGAAAATCTGTACCATGATGGCCACTGTGCCACCAAACAGGGGTAGAAGGGTGGGCAGGTGGAGGCCACAGTGCCAGTTACTGTCAAGCTGCCCACCCTCATATACGCAGCCTGCCCTTCTCCACCCTGCAGCCAACTCCCACACCCTCCAGCCACTCATGGGTCCAACAAGTGGGAACCATTCTCAGGGGAGCTGGGGGTGCAAGAGAGAGGTCTCCAGTAGCTGTCCTCCCTCCCCCACACCACGGCCCTGCAGGGGATTCTCACAGCTGCCCCCCTTCCACCCCTTCAGGCCAGGTGGTAAGGGCTCGCCACCAGTGCCACTCCCTGAGAACTGCCCCAACCCTTGGAGGGTTTCCTGACCCTGCCCACACATGCACCCTAAGTCTTCATTAGATAGTCCTCAGAGAATAAGGTGAACAACCGTCAAAGACACACCCCCAGCACTGGAAGGCAACGATTCAGTGTACCCTCAAAATAGAATGCTCAATGAAAAACATAAGAAACCGAACAAGATATATAGCCCTCCCCCCCAAAAAAAAGATATATAGCCCAACGCCATTTCTGTGAAATAAAAATGCATGCGCCCAAGGCAAGAGATACATTTTGTAAGACCCAGGCAAAGGAGCAGACATCCACTACACAGAATGGGGCGTCTGCCTGTAGGGCAGGGCGGGGAGCAGGGAACCTGCGGAGACCAAGATAATAACGGGTTACTAGGTGAAGACTATAATTAACTCAACTCTTCCTCCTGAGGTCTGGCCGCAGAAAAAAAAATTCCAGAGTCCCAAGTAGGCTTCCTACGCACTGAGGACCCACCAGGACCCAGCCCAGGGTGGGGCATGGCCACACCTGGCCAATCACCGATGCTCATCGCCTTCCTCGCTGTGATTGGCTTAGGGACGGCATGTGACCAAGCCTAACCAATGAGACTCAGAACTGTGGCGACTGACAGGAGGATGGCAGGAGGGAGGTGGAGGTCTCTGAGAGCCCTGGTCCAGCAGATGAGACTTTTGACTGTCACGCTCTCCCCTC